AGCCTGGGGACACCAGTCTACCCTGTGCACCAATAAGTCCTCCAAGCGAGGACATGCACCTGCCGTGAGCCTGCCCTGTGGGCTCACACCTGCAGTCCCACCTGGCTGTGTGCCGTGTTACTGTGCCAGGCACTGCACTGGGCGCCCCCCAGGCCCTCGTTTACCTACCCCCCCCGACACCCTGAGAGGTAGGCACTGTGACCACACCTGTATTCCCATTTCACAGAGGAGACCGTGGAGGCACAAAGAGGTGTGGCAATGGACCCGGGGAGGGACTGTGGGTGAGCAGCAGAGCTGGGAGCGGACCCCATGGCACCCCAGGGAGGGTGTCCTGCCCCTGCCCCGCACCTCGGGGCTACCCACACCCACCAGCAGCAGGGGCTGGAGACTTTGGGGTGAGGTAGGAGGCCACACACACACACACACACACACACATAGGCTGGGAGGGAAACTGAGGCCCAGGGGAGGGAGTAGTGAGGAGGAAGAAGGTGGAAGGAAGGGCAGGCGGCCCGGGTGGGGCGGGGCCACCCCGTTAATGATTCAGTTAATGATTTCTGCTCCCCGTTCTTATCAGGAGGGCAAAGTCCAAGGGCAGCAGCCAATCAGGGGCCCTGTTGGGCTGTTACCCAGCAGCCTCTGCTGCCAGGGCCCCCCAAGTCCTGTAAGCCCCTGGGAGTGGGGGCCAGTCCCCAGGACGAGGCCATTCGGCCCAGAGTGCCCTGTCTTCCTCCCAAAGACCCTGCTCAGCCCTGCCTAAGACCCAAAGGGGCCCCCTGCCCAGGCCCCCAGACTCAGGAGAGGCCCAGAAACCAGCAGGTGGGGAACAGCCTGCTCCTCTCCCCACCTGGACTGAGCCCAGCACCCCCGGGGAGCCAGCTTCCTGGGGTGTCCCCGACCCCCCCTATTTCCATAGCCTCCATTGACCCAGAGAACATTTCCTGCCCCTCCCGCCCCCCCGCCCCGTGTCCCGCACAGTGTTGGGGACAAGAGGATGAGTCAGCCACCCCCCCCATTCTTCTCCCAGCTAGACTCCAGGTCCTGGGGAGGTGGGGCTGGGACAGGAGTCCTCCCAGGGACTCTGGGGAGACCCTGGGTCAGACAGACAGGTCGGCATGGGGTGCAGGGCCGGCCGACACACACCCGAGCTCGGCCTCAGCCTCCCGTCCACACGGGGCCCTCCTCCAGGCGTCAGGGGACTCCCTGGAGGCCTCCGCCTGCCCTTGGGAGGCAGAGACACTGGTCCCCACAGGAAGGCCACCCTCCCTCCCCCGAGGCCCTGGTGGCAGGGGAGAGAGCAGGCGGCTAGGTGTCAGCTCTGGCTAACACCAGCGAACTCCCTTCTCAGCACAGGGAGCCCCGGTCTTGGTCCTTGGGAAAAGGAGGGCAAGGTACCCCCATTCCAGAGGTGGGTGAGGAAGGGTGGCTTTCCAACAGGAGCCTGGTGCTCTGGGGAACAGGGTGGGCACCCAGACCCCTGTGTCCAGTGTATTTATCTCCCCAAGAGGCCAAAGACAATAGAGTTTGCCTTTGTTTGGTGGCTGAAAAGAATCCCACGGGAAGCCCCATCTCTGGTGCAACCCACCTGCCTGCCCCAGGAGGGGACATGAGGCCGGAGAAGAGAAGTAGCCAGCCCAAGCCAGCCATCGGGTCTGGAAGGAGTGAGAACCGGCCTCCCACCTGCAGCCCGGGGGGGCCTCTGGAGGCTGCGTGGGGGACCCCCAACTTCTCAGCACCCCTTCTAGTACCCGCTGGAGGCCCCGTTCCCCTCAGTCTATAAGGTTCCTCCACACCTGCCTGCTTTCTGGGGGTGCTGGGTGCTCACCCAAGGCCCACATGCCCGGGACTCAGGGCCCAGCACCCTGCCCCTCCCATGGCCCTTCCCGGCGCTGAGACAGGGCTCATCGGAGCTGAAGGCACCGTCGGGACCCTCTGTGCCACCCCCTGCCCAGGGAAGGTGCCCGGGGCGGCGGGGGGTGGGGGGAGGACGAGAGCTCCACACAGGGTCAAACACGGCCCTCGGTGGCTGAGCCGTCGCCAGACCGTCTGGGTCCTGCTGGGGTGCTCCACACCACTTCGCCCCTGTCCCCAACCAGGCTCCGAGAGTTCGAGGCCCCAGCCAGTCAAACCGATGAGCGCACTTGCCGCCACAGCCCTGTTACCTGCCGGGAGCCAGTGCATCCTGCCCGAGGGTCCCCTGTCTGCAGACCCTGTGCTCGCTGGGCTGGGCGACCGACCGGAGCCTCCCTCCAGGGGATTAGCAGGGCCGTCACGGGGGCCGGGCTGTACCAGCCTCCCACCTGAGGCCCAAAGCGCCTTAGCCCTCGGCCCGCCACCCTGGGGTGGGCACAGCTTGGCTCGCCCACACAGGGCAGGACCAGGGCATGTATCTGGTGTGCCTACAGAGTGGGCCACGTCAGACGAGGGACCTCGATGCTCCCCAGAGCAGGAAGCGCAGCCCCTGCCTCCTACGCCCACTGCCCAGAGGGCGCGGCCAAGGCCGAGCAGGGAGCGGATGAGAAGTCGGGTGTCCTCGGCCTCAGGCGCGAGGACACGCACGGTCCTCACACACTCAGCAACGCATCCACCTGCACCAAAAAAGCACAGCCTCCCACCCCCGCGCACTTCCGTGGTGCCCTCGTGAGCACACTCAGGCCCCGCCACTCCCAGCGGCTCCCTAACGCCCACACTGGCTCATACGCCACCGCCCACCCGATTCCCTGCCAGGCTGCCCCTCCCACGTGGCCCCAAAGACCCCCGCCCCCAGCGCCCACCCCACCTTCGCCCCATTCCAGGCTCTGGGAACACCTCTCCAGCCCCGGGCCCCCTCTGGGCCCTCATCAGTGGGCAGCCCCACACCGCCCCTGCTCCCCACAGACATTCTTGAGCCTCCTCTTATCTCCCTGGAGGAGCAGCTCAGCCTCCCCGCCAGGCCAGCCGCATGGCTGAGCCGTGGCGTCAGCCCCCACCCCCCACCCTCGGCCAAGAGGGAAAGTTTGGCTCAGGAGACAGGGAGCCCAGGCCAGCCGGGCCCATCCCTCTGCCAGGGCCCAGGGTTTCGGGGGAGGAGGCATGGGGTTACGTGCAGGAAGTGAGGGGGCCTGGCCCACAGGTCATCGGGGTACTAGCAGGGCACCTCCAAAAGCTAGGACTAGTCTCCTCTTCCCACCTCCCTAGGGCTCCCCAACCCCTATAAAGCCCCTCAAAGGCTCCTAAAGGCTGAATAGTGTCTGGGGAATGAGAACCCCTGGGACTGATGGGGGCTGCCCGGGACGCTCCAATAGCCCGACATGCCCACTGAGTCTGGTTCAGCCCTGGTTTCTCGGGGTCCAGGCCTGTCGGAATGCCCAGAATTCTGGCACGGGGAGGCCTGAGGCCTGGGGATGCCCTTCCCTGGGCTGCTCAGCAAGCAGGAGCGGACAGAGGCACCCACCCCCAAGTCACCGGGAGAAACTGAGGCACAGAGGGGCCTTCTTCTCTCCGTCCTGGGACCCGGGATGTGGGCACTGGGCTGGAAACTGGGACCTGACTCCAGGCCCTATGGTCCGACTGTCCTAGCCCAGTGCCCCAAGGGTCACCCCCCCTGCCTCCCAGGAGCAGGCTCACCCTAATGGAAGTTTCTGGATCACTGCATTCTGGGTTCTGAATGCACTGAGGAGGAGGATGTGGGCTTAGGGACTGGGGAGAGGATAGGGCAGAGGCTGGGCTCCCTGAGTTGGCGGAGAGGGGCACAAATGGAGCCAGAGGGTCTGGCTAGATGCGCCCCCACCGAGGGTCTGAGCCACAGCACAGGCTGGGACGCATCAGCCTGCACCTCTGCCTCCCCCTCCCACACTGTCCCATCCCTCTTGAGTCCAGCACCCGGGAGGAGGAGGAGGACAGCCCTGGAGGAGGGGCAGCGGCTACTCTGGAAAGGAAAAGGGGAGTGGGTCAGATGTGGGAGACCTCCAAAACCGTTGTGTAAGGAAGGGGGAGGGAGTAGAAGAAAATACGGTAAGGTGTTTATAGATCCCAGACCTGGGGAGGGTCCTTACAGGGCCAAGGTGAGGGACTGAGGCCACTCTTGGGGTGGGGGTGGGGGTGGGAGAGCACAGCCAGGGGAGGCGAAGCTCCAGGGATAGGTGTGAGCAGCAGAGCCCCGCGGAGCCTCGAGGGGGCTGGTGGATGCCCTTCGTAGCGTTGAGAGGGTCTCCGTTTGGAGGTGGCTGGGATGCCAACTTCAAGGAGGTTCCCGCCCAAGGAGGGCTTTCGTGGGTAGGGGGTGGAGGTGGAGGAATCCAGCCCACCGAGGGGAGGGGTGACTGCTTCAAGGGGAATTGCGGCCTTGGGGGAGGGGGCATCCTTGCAGAAGGTGGGGTAACAGTCTTGAGCGGGGTCCCTGTCTCAAGGAAGCCCAGTGGGAAGTTCCTGGCTCCCATGTCAGGCTGGGGCAGGGGGAGGGTGCGAACCAGAAAGGCACACCAGGGGCCTGGGTCTCTAGGCTGTGATCCCTGCCTCTGGGGATACCACTGGGGGTGGGGTGCCAGCCGAAGAGACTGGGAAGATTCCAGCAAGCGTGCTGGGGGTCTCGGCCTGAGTAGGATTCCAGAGAATCACAGTAGAGGGTCCCCAGTCTCTGGAAGTGGGAAGTGTGCTGGGCGTGGGAGGTGTCAGAATTTAGGGGAATGAGTTTGGGGGGGGGGGTGCTGCAGGTCCTGGAAGGTGTGAAGGAGGACTGCGCATGGAAAGGGACGCAGCTTCAAAGAAGTTGTGTGTTGGCGGACGCGGAGCCAGGAGCCCAACTTTAAAGGAGGTGGGCAGTGACCCGCGGGAGACTCCCAGCCCTGGGAACCAGCACGGCGGGCTGGCTCGTGCCAGCCTGAAGAGAGCCCCAGCCTAGAGGAGGCGTCCCGGGCGTTCCCAGCGTGGTGAAAGCACAGTCGGGAGTCCCAGTGCCCGCCGAGGGCAGAGGTGGATCCCCAGCGCGAGAGGTTGGCCGCCCCCGCCGGCCCGCGGTTACTCACCTTCGAAGAAGCGCTGCAGCGCCTCCGTCTCGTCCACCACCTCCATGTCCGGCTTGCCCGGCGCGCACTCCGTCCCGGCCCCGCTACAGCCCGGCCCGGGGGCGCGGCATCGCCGGCGCGGCCCGCGCGACAGTCCCGGCTCGGCTCCCGCTGCCGTCCAGCCCGCCGGCTGCCTCGCTCGCCCCAGCGCCGCCCTGGCCCGGCCCCTGTCCGCCCCACGCGCCCCGCCCGCCGCGCTCTGCGCCCCCTGCCGGCCGGCCGGCGCCGCAGCCCCACCGCGGGCGGGACGCGCGGCTCCTCGAGGGGCGGGGGCTAGGGGTCCTTCCCAGGTTGGGGGCTCGCGGGACCACCTGGCCCCGTGCGGGGAGAGAAGGGCGTGCAGGTTAGGCCGGGGTCGCTGGGGCTGGAGTCAGCGCCTACGCCCCGTCGCTCAGTACTCGCCCTCCCCTTGGACAGGGGGAAGATCGCAGGATTCTGAATCTGACATTATTTTCAGAGCCCGACTTCAGAGACATCCTCCGCTTCTTCTCTTTACCCACTGCCCTCTCAGCAGTAACAGTCATAACCAGCATTCAGTGAACATTGGTTATGGGCCGGCCCACGCAGCACTTTGCCGGGGTTACCTCATTTAGTCCTCAGGGCACCCTACCAAGGAGACACTGTTCCGTGCGTTTCAGAGACGAGGAAACTGAGGCTCAGGCACAGCGTGTCCTCTGTGAGGAAGTGCTGTGGGGTATAATTTCCCACGGTGATGGGAATGTTCCCTGTGCTGTCCACATGTGGCCGCTGAGCCCTTGAAATGGGGCTGTTGGAATGACCAGGGAATCAACGTTTCCATGTTAATTTGAATTGGTTCGGATTGAAGTAGTCGTGTGTGGCTATGGTCTCCGACAGCAACAGGTCTAAGGGTTTCGGGGTCATCTGGGTCAAAGCCGGCATTCGCAGCCAGATCCTGGCTGGCCCGGGAAGCTGCCCCCTCGGTCACGGCTTCCCCGGGTGGTTGGGTGAGCCCTGAGGTTTTACCTCCGGCCGAGTCACCCCCTTGTCCCTCTGCCTCCACTCCTGCAGCGCCTCCTCGCCTCTGTCCTGCCCAACGGCACAGGCTCCCACCGCCACTGATCCCTACAATCCTTCCAAAGCACTTTTTGAAGCACGTAAATCACCTCATGTCGTTACTTTGCTAAAACCTGTGGTTTCACTTTTGCACTCAGTGGAAACCACAGGTTTTAGCAAAGGAGTCACAGGTAAACCCCTCGTCCTGGTTCCCCAAGGCCTTGTGTGATCTGCCCCTGTCTGGCCCACTGACTGCAGCTGCTTTTCCCTCCGCTGCTCACTAAGTCACAGGCACCAAGCACACTGGGTACCAACACTCCAACATGCTGGGCACATGCTGGTCCGTCTGTCTCTCATGCTTGTCCCCACATGGCTGGTTCCTTCTCAGCAGTCCAGTCTCAGCTCACACGTCACCTCTCTGACACGCTCCCTAAATCAGGTGTCCCTACCTAGGTCTTTTTCTCCCTAAAAGAGTTTCCTTTAGTTCTTGTCATTGTCCCCCTCACTCTAGAAAGGAAGCCCTATGAAGGCAAGAGATTTGTTTTTAAGATTTTATTTATTCATTTTTAGAGAGGGAAGGGAGGGAGATAGAGAGAGAGAGAGAGAAACACCAACGTGCGGTTGCTGGTGGTCATGGCCTGCAACCCAGGCATGTGCCCTGACTGGGAATCGAACCTGCGACACTTTGGTTTGCAGCCCGCCCTCAATCCACTGAGCTACGCCAGCCAGGGCTTGGTAAAAGATTTTTCTGGCTTGGCCATTGCTGTAGCTTCAGCACCAAGCACACTACCTGGCGTGTAATAGGTGCTCGATAAATATGTGTTGAATGAATAGACAATGGCATTTCCTTTCTTTAAAAAAAAAGATTTTATTTATTTTTAGAGAGAAGGGAAGGAAGGATGAAAGAGAGGGAGAGAAATATCCATCGGTTGCCTCTTTGTAGGCACCCAGGAATCGAACTGGTGACCTCTCACTTTGCGGGATGACACCCAGTCCACTGAGCCACCCCATCAGGGCAAGGACAATGGCATTTTCAAACTGTGAAATCCTCGACCTCTGAAATCTCGGAAGCAGGGAATTCTGGAATCCCAGAGCCAGTGAGTCAGCTCACTACGGAGCGGCTCAACTCACGGCTTCTCGGGACCCAGCCAGTCAGAGGTAGAAAAGCCCACCCCACCTCACTGCGGTTTGACACGCAACCAACAGAGGGGTGGGAGGACCCAAGAGCAGCAGATCCGGATGCCAGCCTAGAGCTCCCAGCTCTGCCAGCCAGTGGCCCCCAGAGGAGGAGAGTGGGGACAAGCTGGGCTGCCCAGTGGGGCTGGGGCGAGAACCTGCAAAGCTTGCTCCCACCCAGGCCGCCCTCCCCCTCCTCAGTGGCCAGCCATGGGGGAGGGGTGGCCAGTGCCTGAGCCCCAGATGTGGCCCAGTCAGCAGGCCTGTGGGGGCCCTCGGAGGAGGGTCAATGCCATGACAGTTCTGGGGCTGGGGGAGGGGGTGCCCGGGCTGGCGGGTGCCTCACAATGAGGTTTTGTGCCCCGGGGGCCTTGAGCTGTTGCTCTTAGATATATAGAATGGGATGCTGCTGGAGGCCCCAGCTGTGTGCCTCCCCGCTCAGGGCCAGGGCTGCGAGGGGGGGGGAGGGCCGCACTGAGGCGCCTATTCTTTTCCAGCCGATACACCCCAGAGGTTTCTCTCCCTCCGCAGCCTCCCTTGAGACCATTGTTATTCTCTGCTCTGCCTCTCCCCCACCCGGGGTCCGGCTTGCCTGCAGACAAAGTAGACACCCACCTACACCACGTGATTTTTAAAAATGAGTTTGTTTTAGGAGTTGCCCGGGACCGACCAGAAAGCCAGCGACTTTAGAAGCCTCCCCAGCCCACAGGTCTTCCCGTCCAGCCCTGCGCGATGCCAGACGGCCCATCACTCGAGGGGCCGGCCCCATGAGCTACGCCTGCCCCTTTCCTCAGGGTGGGGCAGGGGACGTGGGCACACCTTTTATCCCCAACACCCCAGCTCCTCGGGCTGCACTGTTAAGTCTCTGGGTAGCCTTGAAGAAGTTAGAGGAGGCACGAGGGAGCCCCCCGGTAATCTTGTGGGGCCTGGCCCGGTTAGGGGTTTCGGCCCTGCCACCTCCCCTGACTCCAGAAGGCCACTGAGCAACTGTCCCCAGGGGTTTTCGTCTCTGGGCTAAGGGAAAGGGGGGTCTGACATAGCCCAGACTCTCGGCCCAGCCAAGAGTGGAGGCTGCTGTTCTCCAATTCCCCCCGGCTGGGGGCAGAGCCTGGGGGTGCAGGGCAGCAGCTAGGGCTGGGGAGGGAACCCCAGGGAGCCTTGCATCGCCGGGACCTTGAGGGACCCATGCATGGAGAGGAGTCCCCGTGGACACCCCCTCCCCACCAAGCCACAAGGAGCGGGGACCAAGACCTCAGCCCAGGCCCAGCAGACGAGGCTGCCCCCTGGGCTGGCCAAGCCTTCCTCCGAGGCCTGCCCTCTGGTCCTCGGAGGCCTCACCTGTGGACCAGCCCATCATTCTCGCCTCACAGTGGAGGCCAAGTGCCAGGGAAGTGATGGGTAGGTGCTGCTCTCTGTGACTCCGGGTCGGGTCCCCGGCGTCCAGCGCTGGCCTGTAAGTAGCAGCAGGGCCAGGAGGAGGCGGCAGGACAGAAGGCACCTCTGGGGAAAGGGAGACAGGGACTTAAGGGTTAATGATTAACCGGCTGGAGAGAAGCCCAGGGGAGGGTGGGGCTCAGCTGAGTGGCCAGTCCTCCCTAGCGAGGGGGGACTCCTGGCCTCCCGTGGGCCCCCACAGCCTTGGCACCCACCCATTTTACTGAGGAAGCCTAATAAAGGGTGGTGGCTGGGAACCCAGGGAGACTCTCAGGCCCAGGGCACAGCCGCCCTTGACTAGGGCAAAGGCACCCCTGGGTCTGGCGGTCCTTGATCTCTCTCCCACCCGCCTCCCAGCTGAGATGGAGGCACCACCCAAGCATCCTGCGTGGGCACTGGGAGGCAGAGTGAGCTCCGGCCTCCCCCACACGTGCCCTCGTGAGAGCCCCTCCTCACCGCACACCCCGGCCGAGGGGCCTTGGGGCCTCGGGGCCTCGGGCACATCACAGACCCATCGGCTGCCTCTGCCCCTGCTCCACGAATCACCCTGTCTTATTAGTCTCCAGGTGGGAAGAGCCTCTGAAAACCATCAGGTGAGGGCGAAGGCCAGAGCCCTAGGCTGGGGTTCTGGATCCTGGTTCTAGGTCGGTCAATCCCACCTGAGTGACCTTCAGCAGGTCTTCCCCCTGGTCCAGCCTCAGTTTCCTCCTCTGTCTGGAGAGGCCTGGAGTGAAGGCAGGCGGCCCTGTCCTATCACCCTCCCCAACCCTTCACCAAGTAGGGTCGCTCTGGACCCACGGCTGAGAGGCGGGAGGGTGGGCGGTATAGGGGAATGGGGAAGGTCAGGTTTAGGACAAAGCTTGGCTGGGTCGGTGCCTGGGCCAGACTGCCCATCAGGGTGGGGCCGGCTGGAGGAACAGCACCACCTGGTGGGTGGAGAGGGCAGGCCCGGACGTGGGGCTGATGCGAGGCCCAGGTGCCTACCCGCCCCAGCCCCACAGCTGCTCCCCAGGTCCTACTATCCTGGAGCCGGTTGAGTGGGGTCCCCCGGGCCTGGCCAGGCATTTTGCACACTCCTAGGAAAGCCCTCCGAGACTCCCCATGGCCCCTGCACCCCCGATGGCAGGGTTTAGTGGAGCCCTCCTCTCCTGCCCCAGCTCTCGTTGTGGGGGTGGGTGGGCACTGTCAGACTAGCCTGGTCTTTTTTTAAAGGATTTTTTTTTAGATTTTATTTATTTATTTTTAGAGAGATGAGAAGGAAGGGAGAAAGAGAGGGAGAGACATTGACCAGTTGCCTCTCTCATGCCTTCAACTGGGGACCTGGCCTGCAACCCAGGCACGTGCCCTGACTGGGAATCAAACCAGCCACCTTTCAGTGTGCAGGTTGGCGTGCAATCCACTGGGCCAGACCAACCTGGTCTTGAGCAGCTGACTTTGGCTCAGTGAGCCCCAGGACCCTCAGGGAGGAGACAGGGGCTAACAAGACCCCTCTTCCCAGGCCCTAAAGT